TGGTGAGAGGCGCTGAGCTGGTGTTGGTCTACTTGTAGGCCCCGACTTGGTGCCTGTGTGTAGGAATTTTCCCCGGTAAAAGAGAGGATAGCTGCTCCAAGCCTTCGGGTGGGGAGACAGGCTCCGACTGTTGTTTGTGTCTATGCGCCAAATGGCAGTTCAGAGTATCTGGCCTTCTTGTAGTCCTAAGCTGGGTTGTTGGAATGTGCTCTGGTTTAGACTTCTTTAATCTGCTGGGAGACTTCAATGTCCACATGGGTAATGACAGTGTGACCTGGAGGAGCATGATTGGAAGGAACGGCCTCTCTGATCTGAACTCGAGCAGTGTTCTGTTGTTGGACTTCTATGCTAGTCATAGTTTCTCCATCACAAACACCATGTTCAAACATACGGGTGTCCAAAACTGCACTTGACACCTGGACGCCCTAGGTCATAGATCAATGATTAACTTTGTAGTCATGTCATATGACTTGCGGCCATTTATTTTGGACCCTTGGGTGAAAAGAGGAGCTGTGCTGTCAACTGATCACCATCTGCTAGTGAGTTGGATCAGATGGTGGGGGAAGATGCCAGACAGACCTGGTAGAACCAAACATGAAGTGAGTGTTTGCTGGGAAAGCCTGGCAGAAGAACCTATCAGAAAGATTTTCAACTCACCTCTGGGAGAACTTTAACTATATCCCAGGTGAGGTGGGGGACATTGAGTCTGAGTGGGCCATGTTCCATGCCTCACTTGTTGAGGTTGTTGCCGTGAGATGTGGATGCAAGGTTGTTGGTGCTTTTCGAGGTGGCCATTGTTGGATTTAATGTTTTATCTTTTATTATTTTTAATCAAGCTTGAAATTTTATGTTATAAAAGGTGTGTATGTGTCATTTTTTTAAAATGGTTTTCACTACCTTACAATCATTTAAATGGTAATCAATTACTTTGCTTAAATATAATCTTACACTAGTTAGGGTCAATCTTATAGATTTACAATCTTAGAAATTTACATTTTGATATATTTACAAGCGAATCACAACGGGCCCAATGTTCAGGTAAGATACTGTTTAACTACAGCAGGAGAGGTCTGCTTGTTCCCTGGGAGAGTCAACCCCCACTAAATGTAACACACACCCACACACAGAGGGACTGATTAACATAAAATAATCTAGAACACATCTCTCTAACTTAGAATTAATATAGTTTGACTAAATAGAATTAGTATCATAATACCAATTAGCAGGTAACCGTACAACCATTATTTGATGAGGGGGCCAGTTTAGAGGAATACAGGCTTAACCTGCATAGTAAAATACAAGAGAGTTTTTGTTAGAGGGGGGCAGGGTGACTTCATAAGCCAGAGAGATCAATAAAAACCACACAGACATGAGTTAGTTAATAATTAATAGTTATTAATTATTCCTAGAAAGAAACTTAACTTTAGAACAGAATCATTTGGTATCACTAAGGTATAATTAGGTTAAAATGAAAACAGAGCTAAAACAAAGAACCAATTTCAGTAGTCATAAAAACTCCTCTCTTATCTAAAGAATGTTGAAAGTCCCTGACAGAGCAGAGTAACCATGGCAACCTTTTCGGCTAAACCAATCAGAGGCAGAGCCTGCTCAAAACTGTGATAAAGATCCAGGGACAGACTACAGAATTTAGCATTTGCTGGGGAACTCATCTGATCAGGTCGGTTTTTGGTAAGTGCTCCTGTATGCATACATGTAATTGATTTTATGAACTCTGAATACTTGTAATTTGTTGTCCAATAAATCTTTTGAACTATGGTGGCCCGTATCAGCTGTTTTGAACACCATTAGTGGCTCTCAGCCACGTCAAATGGTGACCCCGAACGTGCAGCTGGCGGACAGAACAAATTGGATCAAGGTGGTTTGCGGTGCACATGCAAAGGAACTGGGCCCGATAATTTTCAGGTAAGCTGGTTAACTGTTTGGACCTTAAGGTCCGGAGTACTGGCTATTCGGCTGTAAACCAAATTCAAACCAAATTCAAATTCCTCTGTTGGTGTGTTCATACCATCTCCTGAATAAAGATGGTTGGTAAGCTAATTTAAAGTGATTAGGGGAACTTCTGACGTACAGATTACTTGTATTCAGACTTGGGGGGGTGCACGACGCGTGCGTGCTTGGCCGCGTGCGTGTAAGTGTGTGTGTGTCCTGTACACGGCTTTGTTTAGATAGAACACGATTTAGAATCGTGGCGGAGGAAGACCGTGGAGTCTGCCGTTAAAGAAAATATATAGAAAAAACGTTCACTTTGTTTTCAGCGAGGTTGGCCGCTAAAGGGTTCACCTGACGAGGTGAACTTAACGAGTCTGGGACTCGGGGGCTGTGGGGCGCGTCTTTCCACCGCGGGTGTTGACTGTCCGCTAAATTAAGGGCAATTGTTAATTTAATCGAAGTGAACGTTACAGTCTGGGACTTAGTACCAAATTTCCGGTGATCTGGGATCGCTTTAGGGATAGGATATTGTCGTACCGTGCCGTGTTGTGACTGTGAGTCTGTGTGTATGTGAGTCTCGTGTGTGAGGGTGGGGGGCCTGAAGCTGTGTGTGTGAGGCTGACAGAGAAGATTTGTTTTCTCGCTGTTTAAACTGGTGTGGGGGAAGGTGCAGCCTTTTCTTTTTTGGTTTGCTCTGTCCTTCTAGGTGAAAGTGTGTGCGCTGGTCTCTGTGAGTGTCAGGTGACTCGGACTGACTGGAGCATCCATATCCTGACCGAAAGGGGGCGCTATTGTATAAGGCAAGGACAAGTCTGGACTCTGGGTTTTTTTTTCATACAACAGACTTGTGTATTGTTTTATCACAACGGGGCCGGCTGTGCATGTGAATGAAAAAGATTTGAATGCCTGAGTGTGTGAACGTTGTCATCAGGTGTGGAACTCATAAATGTGATACATGTGACTCATACGTCAGTAGCAGTAAAAAACGTTGAAGTAAGCTGAATACAGCTTAAAAGAGGGAGGAGGTGCTTGGAGGTGGTACATCATCAGGGGTGAGCTTGGCAGGAGGAGATCTGAACGCCATTTTCAGTCACTGAACGTTAGGAGAGAAATGTAATACATCGTTTAAAATAGGAATACTAATCAGCAGCTAATTAGACCACAGCTGTCGGAGGCCAGACATAAACGGGGATAAGAGAGCGAGGTCAGAAAAACATTTGTGTGTTCAATCAAGGTCAGAGGTAAAGGAGGAGGCAGTGACCTCTGGAACAGTTGATCTGCAGCAATGGTTTGAAACTCAAGGCCAGAGGGCCAGAGGGGGACATCCCGTGTAGGAGCGGTAATTAACGGAGAGATAGAGTCAGAGGGAGTCAGCTGGAGGTATTGTTGGAACAACTAGCTGTGTGGGAAGAGGAAGATGGCAGACAGTCACTCACTAAGCGGGCGAGAGACAGAGGTAAATTGATAACAAACGTACTGAACAGACAGGCAAAGGTGGAGAGCTGCTGACAGAGAGCTGCTGACATGATGCAGAGAAGGAAGGTGAATGGTTGAGGTGTCAAAGAGACCAAGTAGAAGAGCAACATGGCTCACAGCATTGGTGCTGGGTTCAACCTGTTTTATCAGGGTGTGGATAGAAAGAGAAATGGAGTAGGGGTGGTCTTGGAGGAAGTGAGGCGTATGTCTGACGAAGGCCTAAGAGGAAATAAGGAGGACGATTCGTTGTAGTGACTTCTGAAAAGGGAAAAGCCGAAGGAGGCAGGACAAATAAACATCATAAACAGGTCAAATTAAGTTTAAACATTTCTGGATGACACATTGTAAACAAATTAGCCAAAATTTCTTCTTGGGATTGACAATAAAATCAGTTAATAAATTCAACTATATAACGACAGAATGTAAAATAAGTAATAAACAAAATCCTTGACACTTGTAAAATGAAAAATTTATTCTGGTCATAGAAACTTTTAACTAAACACAAAGTGAAAGGCTTGGGTTAAAT